TTTTTTTTTTTTTTTTTTTTTTTTTTGATATATATATATATATATATATATATATGCCTCACCCTGCTGCCTCCCTCGCTTGTTTGCTTAGTCGGTAAGAAATGGGAGAAGAAGGGAGAGAGGAGGAGGAGGAAAGAGAAAGTCCATTGAGGCTTTTTTAATTGTCGTTTCAATTACAATTTCTATTCTATTTGTTATAAGTAACTATCTTCTTACTTATATTTTGTAATAATTTTATCTGTACAGATTATATGTATCAAAACAATCATTATTGGAATAATTGAAATATATCTGAAGCTTATGAGCAAAATAGAGTGTATAAGCGGAATAGAGATGAGATTTTATTTTGAATGCATGAATATGAGTTGCGCATATGATTTACTATATTTTTCATCTTAATGATAGGTTTAATTTTTCAAGTGTAAGAAAATGAATCAACTAGTGTGATTTTATGTCTTTTATCCTTCTCTAAGTTAAGTTTTCTGACACATAATTTTTTGTTGTAATTTGATGTGATTTTTTTTATAATTAGATAATTTGAGTTTAAAATTTTATTTTGAGTTTGCTATCTCTCTCTCTCTCATATTGATATAGAAATATCGAGTACAACTTTTTCTAAAGGTGGAGAGATTGCAATAACCTAAATGTATGAAATGAATTTATTTGAAAAACATCAAAATTTAGAGTTGAGCACTATGGTGTTTGGCCACTAATAGTATTTTATATACTTTTTTATTATAAATATCCTTGCCTCACCCAACAGCCTCCCTCACTTGTTTGTTTAGCTGAAAAGAAACGATAGAAGAAGAGAGAAAGAGGAGGAAAGAGAAAGTCCATGAGGGCCTTTTTACATGTTGTTCATGTTACAAATTTTATTTTATTCATTGTAAGTAACTATCTTCTTATTTTTATTTTTGATGATTTTGATTTCTACGGATTTATCTCTCCTAAATTTGTCAAAAATTTATTATTTCATGATTTTATTGCATTTTCATCAGTTAAATATGCATATAAGAATTCCTAGGTGAAATGAGTAGTGAAAATATATATTGAAAATGGATTGAAAGTGATATATGGTGATTTGATATGATAATACTGAAATGTAATATATGCTAAAATAATTGAAAGGACCGATATGGAGTGAAATGTGATACTTATGTGATTTAAAGGATGTGGTACTTAATAGTAAATATATGGTATGATAACCTGATCATGTGATATTCTCAAGATTCATGTGGTCCACTGATATAAGTCATTGGATGGGAATCTAAATGAGCTATAAATTGATTAAGAGTCATAAGGAGTCGGGAAGATTGTCACGTGATTCAAGGAGAGTTATAAGGAGTTTATTGATTGAGAGTCATAAGAGACAACTGATTAGGAATCATAAGTGCAGGAATAAGATATCCTCAAGATACTCTCATATGAATATATGATATAACACCTATTCACTGATATAAATGATTGCACATGATATCCGCAAACTCAAGATATTCTCATCTTAATGTTAGATACTAATACTAAAATTGTTACTATTGCTTATAGTTTTATTGATATTGATTACTAATACTGACATTGGTTAATGAGTTTTGATATTGATATTGATTATTGATGTTGTTACTGATATAATTTTGTTACTAATACTTAATATTATTATTGATATTGTGATTGTAACTAACATGTTGATGTGAGTTGAATGAATGATAAGATTGCATGTAATTGAATGAGTGATAAATATCGACTGATTAACCGATTGATTGGAGTTTATAATAAAAGAATGAAACGGAATTGATTGAGATATGACATGTTACATAATGATTATTGATGCAGATAACCAATATGATTAGTGATAAATATCGTTGTAAATTGACTCAATTCGAGCCCAAATAGGTCTGAATCGAGGACTAGAAGCAATATTGAAAGGTTCAAACAACAATTTGGATTACCAAACGGATTCCAAATATGGCATGCTTATAGTCGAATCGAGCGGCTCGATGAGACAAATCCAACGAGCCTAAGATCGTAAAATTCTGACATCATTAAGACATTCAAATGTCCATCAAACGGCTCATGATCAAGGGATTCAACATCAGCCGCCCATCCAACTACTCCCTATTTGCCCTTTATCTCTCACCTATTTACGGGCCATGTCACTCCAAAAATCTATAAATAGATATCCCTTTTCTCTTGAAAAAGGATCCAAACAAGAAGAGAAGAAAAGAAGAGAAGGAAGAAGAGAAATAAGAGAAGGAAGAAGCTCCTCCTCGACCACCGCCTGTGTTCCGTCGGATCACCGCCTGACATCGTTGCTCCACCGGACCACCACTTGAGGCCCTCACCCTCGCTGGACCACCACATGAGGCCCTCACCTTTGCTGGACCACCTCCTGAGGCCCTCACCCTCACTAGACTACCTCCTGAGGCCCTCACCCTCATCGGACCACCACCTGAGGCCCTCACCCTTGCTGGACCATCGCATGAGGCCCTCACCCTCATCGGACCACCGCCTGAGGCCCTCACCCTCGCTGGAGCACCACCTGAGGCCCTCACCTTTGTCGGACCACCCCATGAGACCCTCACCCTCGCCGGACCACCGCCTGAGTCCCTCACCCTCGTCGGACCACCGCTAGAGGCCCTCACCTTTGCCGGACCACTACCTGAGGCCCTCATCCTTGCCGGACCACAACTTGAGACCCTCACCTTTGCCGGACCACCGTCTGAGGCCCTCATCTACTCGAGACCACCACCTGAGGCCCTCACCTTTGCCGGACCATCACTTAAGGGCCTGAACTCCATTAGACCACCACTTGAGGCCCTAAAACTCTGCCAAACCATCAACTGACGCCAAAGTTCTGCCAAGCCACTGTCGGACTACTAACTGACACCCTAACTTCCAAGTAACGCCAGATTTAACACTAAAATTCAACCATACGGTTGACATTTATAATCTGATTGCCCTCAAGAATGAGTTAGCCCACTGTACTCAACTCAAATTCTAGTGAAATCTTTTCAACTGGGCTAGGCCCCATGGTTTTTCTCCTTTCCAAGATTTTCCACATAAAAAATCTTGTGTTCTCTGTGTGTAAGCTGGATATCCGTGCAATGCTAAGATGTAAAATTATAACCCTATCACCGTATATATTCTAAACCGCAACAGCACTAATAATCATAAAATAGATCCATCCCTCATAATAACCATATTTTGGGTACCACGAAATGTTCAACTATACGAAGCACAAATACATTTTTCAAATAAATAATTTTAGTGTTCAATGTAGTTCCAAAAGAGCTAACACCTTTAAAAATATGGATACTAAAGTTCCACAAAATTATGGCAAATTGCATTGCATGCATGCAAAATCCAAAAATAAAGTATTTTATGCTAGTATTTTTCTATCTCAATAATAATTAAACGTAATGTTGACTCTTGTTGAAGATGCATTTAGAATGATATTTTAATTTTTTTTAATATATCTCCATTATATATCTCTTAATTAAATTATTTTTTGTTGAGAAATAAATAAAAAAATATAAAGAGGTCATTTGGTTTGGTTAAAAATTAACGCAAAGTAAAAATACTTATAATTTAAAAAGCATGCAATGTATTTGGAATATTTGAAATTATATAAATTAGTATAAAATGAATAAACTAGATATTATTTTAACTTAAAGTAAAATGAATGTATCATAAAACCCGTGATTTTGGTATATGGTATGGTGTTTGATTAGCGATTGGTGGCGGGCTGTGTTCGATAGTGAGAGGTGTGTGGCAACGATAAATATCGATCGGTGGGTGATAATCGAGACCAACAATGATGCCCTAAGATTTAAATTGAAATAATTGTATCTTTTTATTCTCTAAACATCAACAAATGCTTACTAATTTCACCTAGGCAATATAAACAACATAAAATATAAATACATTGCTATTCATCAAATATTTATATCGATCCAACCCAAAAATAACATATGCAATAGTCATTATATTCAATAAAAAATAGCCCATAACTATAAATACTTCGTAACTACAAAAAGAAAGAAAGTTTAACAAATGCAGAAAGAAAACCTAAGCATGCTACCTAGATCAACCTTACTCTAATAGTTTTTTACCCTTGCCTAAAAATATGTAATAACCGTTTAATAAGCACAATAACACAGCAAGTCATCAAAATCTACAACTAAAATCAATGCACAAAATATAAAAATATGCATGTGATTATTCAATTAAAAGAAATATAAGCATACAACTATAAAAACATATAGCAATCAATATGAACAATATCATATAATTATATACATATATCATGTGTCATTGTATCAGTCTTATCATATATATGTATCATTCTTATCTTTTATCATGTGAATCAATCTTATCATATGCATCATATATCACATGTTCATATCAATACTCTATCAGTTTGTCTACTTATCAATCACATTTCTTATGCCCTTCAATAGTTCAATCTGTAACTTAGTCTCAATCAATATCATCAATCAACTAATCATCGCATATCATATATCATATGACCTTGCTCTTATCAGTCATTAAACATCAATCTCATCTATATCAACCTTATCTAACATCGATTACATCTATCATTTATCTTATATGTTATAAAATATCTTAATTTTTTATCTATAATATGTTTTAACAATCAATTATCAATCATATATGTCATTTGTCTTATTTTTCATCTACATCATATATATCATTAGTCTTATTTGTTATCTCCCATCTCTTATTCTTCTCGACTTCTCCTTTCTTTTGTTTCTCAACAAGGCAATGAAACGAGGGGTTGATGGTTTAGATGGTGAGGGATATTTTATTAAATATAAGTGTATTTTGAAAATTTGTGCGTCTAAGTTGAAAATAACATCTATTTACATTTGATTTCTCTAAATCAATAAACATCATATTTTATAAAATATGACTACAATCGTTGAAGTTAAATTAAAATTATTGTTAAATTTTTTATTAAAGAAATGATTAATAAAATATTATAAAAATTATAATTACTTGAAAATTATATTTAATGAATGTTTAATTAAAAATGACCAAAATACATTTACATTTAACATCATTAATTTCAACATTAGATGTTTAGATTAAAATATCTTATTTTAAATAGTTGAGAGACCAAATTGGTCCCTCAAAAGAGTTGAGGACTATTTTGATCCCTAACAAAGAATCGAAGAATTATTTTGATCATTTTCTCTATTTTCAAATAAATTTATTTTAGAAAATTTTGGTTATTACACCAACAATGGCGGCACTAAAGATAGAGTTGATGGTGTATTTACAAAATATTTAAATTTAAAAAATTTTAAATACATTAAAATTGAATTAAATAAATTTTTTTTTCTTCAAATAAAACATGCTTTCTTTTTTCCTCAAGAAAATGATACCCATACTACTTGAATTGAAGAGATGCTTTAAGCAACAGGAGTGTCTGATTGTTTCAAAGCAATTCGGGGTGCGGCCGCTTTACTAATGCGTGAAACCGACAGCTTCAACTCGGAAGTGCGTATAAAAAAATGAAGTAGTCTTTTTCATCCCAACTAACGCTGCTGCTGTCAATCCTCTTCGACGCAAATGATTCCGTAATTTATTATTGATCTCCGACAAAAATCAAGATAGCGCTGCCTCGGAGATTTCCACAAGCTTCTCTAGGGTTCCCCTTTGATTTGTCGTTCGAGGCTGTGGAGTAAGTTCTGACTTTTGATTACGAAGTTCGATTTCTGCAATTGTTTAGGGCATGTGAATTTTTGCCGCTGTTTGTTTGCCAGTGTTTATTATTATTATTATTATTATTATTATTATTATGCTTATTATGCTTGTTTCGCTCTGATTTATGAAGCCCGGTTGCGGATTCGTTTAATTTTGTTGTATACATGATGTATTTTGTGTACTCTAGTGTTTTGAATCTAATAAGTTTGGCTGAGGGCTTTGGAAGCTTGATAAGGCAAAATTGAATGTTTTTCTCAGGTAGAATGGATGGCGTTGTTGTGAGGAGGGTAATACCCTCAGATAATAGCTGCCTCTTCAATGCTGTGGGGTGAGCTTTTGACACGAAATTGCCTACTTTTGTATCATTCATCATTTACCCTTGTAATTATATTTATTTGCTTACAGTTATCTTATGGAGCATGATCAACACAAAGCTCCAGAATTGAGACAGGTTATTTTTATCATTTTGTTGCAGTTGTTTATCGCTAGTTTTAACATGCTTTTATTAGGTTGATTGCAAATATGGTTGATAGATACTTATAAATGCTCCATTGGCCTTAAATTGCCAAAGGTGGTTCATTTAGGCATAGTCTACGTCACCACTCACCGACCTTGTAGCCCAATGTTATTGTTCCTTATTTTTTAAATGGAGGCTTGGAATTTGATCCTTAAAAGAAAAAAAAGAAAAAAGAAATAGCATAATGTTTCATCAGCTTGTAGCACACGAGTGAATGCACGCTAGGGTATACAAAATTTGTTGTTTACATAACATTTATGGAATTGTAAATTAATTTCTTAACATGTAATTTTCGCGCTGCTAAACCCCATGTGGGTTCTAAAGGTGCTCATGAGTTCGAGGGATGATCTCTCCCTCCATATTTTTTTGGAGTTTAGGGACCAAATACGGAGAAATATGGGATTTTCAAAGACACGCTATTTAACATTTCCAAAGATTTTTTCTAGACAACATTTTGAGCTATCTAGGATTTATATTTGATATAGGGGATAAGATTACCTTTGGGTGCAAGCTCCCATAATTGATTATATCTAGATGTGATTCCTATGAACACTTTATTTAAGGACATAAGTGCATTCCAGATAAGTGAGGGTTTAGGCTTATATATGACATGGGGCATAAATGAAGATGGGTGTCAACCCAATTAGCATTACATGATTTTGTCATATCGGATTGAGCTGGTGGTCTTGGTCACCAACTACAAATGGCAAGGAGACATTATGATATAGGGATTTTGATTAGAAACCTTTTGTACCTATTGAATGATATCTCGAGCAATCGAAGGTAATTGTATGCTCAAGGGTATTACTTCTTTTTTTGGTCAAATTTGAAGATTCAAATTTAAATCGATTTGTTTCTATGTGGTTGTCATTAGTTCGAAGATGTTCTTACATGACCACTGGTATTCAACACACTTGGTTTGACCAATTAATTATAAGATTGGCTTAGAGGCATTGAGGATGATCAACTCAATTATTCAATTTCAGATCCCAAGTGTGCCTCCAAAAGAAAACCCTATGATATATGTATAGAGATGATTAAAGTGCTACAGGATATTATTTAAAATATTGGTCGATATCAAATATTTGACTTTAGGTGGTCATCATGGGTTATTATTGTGGTTAGAATTTATATGGTAGAGGACATTTTAATTTATTCAAATGGTGCCCAATGTAAAGATACTTAATATGCAGTTGTGGATTAAAACACATTTATCCCACAAAAATATATAGAGCACCAGGTTTATGGCTTTTTGTCATGTGATCTAATGATTATTTGATTAATGAGCAAGTGGGTCTTGATTTCTATGTATAGGTGAGGATTACATCGTAAGGGAAGGCCTACAGATTGATTGCAAGATTTTTGGAAATTATATTGTTTGACTCATAGCCTAATTATTGATTTAGATAAGGTGGATCAAACAAAAGGTTCTTGCATTGCTACAATGTTTTTATTTTTATTTTTGCATTGCTACAATGCTAGTTTGAGATTTAGAGAAAATTTGGGCTTACATCTTTTGCATTTAGCAGAAATGCTCTAGGAGTTTGAGATTTAAGTCTTTGGTATAAACTCAGTTTGAGGATTGTTATCTATTTGTGTGTGTATATTTTGTGTTTGTTTTTATTCTAGGCTTGTGAGAAATTTATCCTGGTCTAGTGATACTGACGGAACATAACTCTAGGGCTATAAGGTATCACGAGAATGGATTTTATTAATTCACTTTTGAAAAAAGCCCATGAGTAGATCTTATGATCTTACCTTATATCCAAGGTGGTTCGACAATGAAGTTGTCTAGATATTGATTTTGTTGATTAGAATCTTATTAATTAACTGTCTGGAGGGTGATGCAATGTTGATGATGATTTAGTTAGTCTTCTTTGATATAACCCATATTAGGATTTTTTATCCCGGTGTGTATTTAAGTTAGTGCACCACTTATGACTTCCAAAGTTATGAACAAGTCCTTTAAGGATATTGAGGTATGGTGTCCTTAAAATGAGGGTCTCTCTCCTCTTGTTGCTCTGTCGAGTTATAAAGGGGGCAATTTTAATTTGATGCATTTTGTTTGTGTAATTTAAAAAGTTGGTTGAACTACGAGCAATTTTGAAAATGTCCCATTGAATAGTTTTGAGTTGACTTATAGATTATTTGCAGGCAAGTAACCAAATAACCTACCCATGGTATGAGTTTTGAGATTTATAGACATTTGTGCAATACGTTTTGAAATTTTGAAACTTGAAAATTTTCAAGGTGATTGACTCATCTGTGGAGTCGATTGTGGTCAATTTGAGATTTCATATGCTTCGTTGACCCCCTCCAATGGCTCCTCAAGTTTGAAAATCTTGAGGTTTTAATTCAATCTTCTTTGAATTTATGGCACTCGAGGGAAATTTTGGTCATTTTGTCAAATTAATTTCCTAATGTGGTGAACCAAAGAGTCCATGCTTTTTGCTTGGACTCCTTTGGTAACTTTTGGATGTTTCAAGATAGTTGATTTAATTTAATCTTCATGTGTGTTGCCTTGAAATACATATACAAATAGACTTGGGATTTTGGGGAAAACACAATAATTCAAGGTTTTCAAGGGATTAAACATAATTTGAGAATTATATGGTACCCTTTGAATCATTGGTTGGAGGACCGTAAAAAATTGTGTAACACCATTTGAATATGTGCTTATATGCATTGCAAGATGTGTTGACCATAATAAGTAGTTTTTTAATTCTCTTTCTGAATTGATGAATTTCATTACTATTGACTGCCATTTGACACATTTACAAGTGCATACATCATGAATATCTCTTACGATCAGTTTCCCACTATCCTTCCTTCTCTCTCTTTATATACATATAACAAAGGGCAATTTAGACCGAAATGACAACATAACAGTATCCATAACACATTTTAGATCCTGATGTGTTGCCCAGTCTAAGTTCCCTTTCGTTTACCTGTACTTATACCTATATGTACTTTTAGGTTATAGCTGTAGCTGTGGCAAGTGATCCTGTAAAGTACAATGAGGCATTGGTTATGAGAAATGATGAGAATCAACATTGCTATTGCTTATTTGGCAAGCCATAAACACTTTTATTGTACTTCAATATAATTCAATTGGCTTTGATTAAAACATTTTCATTCAGAGCACTGCTGCTTGAATGTCACGAGAGCATAGATAGTTACAAGCATAACTATTGATCCTGTGAATCTAACTAAAATTATTAAGCCTCTTGGAAGGCATGCTATACAGGGATGCCATTTGAATTACATTGATAACTAAATTATTCTACTCGACTATGAGTGGTGATCAGAATTGATGCCATTAATTAAGCAAAGTAATCAAGATGGCTTGAATAAGATTCAAATTCCAACAAATCATTAAATAAGGAATGTATTTATAATTTAACACAAAACATAACATAGAAAGAAGAAATACTAGATAATGCCTGCAAAGAAATCTATGCCAACAAATTGCAAAGCCTATTTATTTTGTTGGAAGTCAAAACTCTGCAATTTAAGAGAGTATGTGTGATATTCAATTTGTAAGGAATAAAATCATTTGAACCTTGCATCACAACTCGTAAGGATTCAACAAGTTGCTGGTAATTCCAAAATAAGATTTGGATTTATTCATATGAGAAATCAACATCTTGTGTTATATTTATCCTAGAAACATATCACATTGCCAGCTTTGATATAAGTCAAAGAGTCCACGGTAAGAGTAACTTATCCATTTAATCAATTTTGCTTGAGTAGTCCCTGAAAGAGGACATTGTAAATCTTTCTCTATGTCAGATTAAAGAAAAATATATAATGGAATGAGTTGAATATAATATTTTGAGAAATGTCCATTATTTCTACCAAATTGCAGAAGGCCTAACTATTATTAAATGTTACTGTTTTTACTACAGTTACCCATCTCTTTTATACAAATACGAATAGAGATAAGACCCTAAATCTCTAACTGCTTCTTCAAATTTTTAGTTTAAAGATAACCGTATAAATCAAAACTAAATGATATTACAAGAGATGAAAATCTAAGATCTCAGTGGCTTCAAACGGTTAGAAAAAAAAAAAATATAAATAAATAAGAAATTAAGTCTTCAACCGTCCCACGATAGCACGTTCGGAACCGAATGCCCACGTAGTCGGATCAAATGGTTTGTATAAAATGAAGAATACATTAAGGAGGGGAGTTACGCGGACATACCTTCAAGAAATCAGAATTTTAACTCTGATTTTGAGGATTCTCTCAGAGCAATCAATCCCGAATCAACACATACCAGTCGTTCCAATCGCAGCCAAGGTCCGAACACACCACCGTCCGTCTCCGAAAGCCCAGTCGATCAAGAGCGACGTCTTCGCCGTCCTCCGCTCCGAACTCCTGGTTGAGCAAAATCATAAGCAAACGATCTCTTCCTACCTTACACACGTCTGAGTCACACCGGATCTCTTCTTCGGCTTTGTTTCTTTCAGTCGGATCAAACTTCCCAAAGCAAAAGTCACCGTCCAGCGCTGGTTTGTCCGCCTTCTCCCGTGGAACAACAAAAGCTACGGTTCTTGGTTTCTGTTTCTCTTTTTAGAAACAATGGGAAAAGAAACCATCTATATATTTATTAATAAATATTAGCAAAAGCTGCTCTCTTTCATTTTTTTATTTCTTTATGGCAAAGATAAAGAGAGATTATATATACATATTTATCAATGAATAATAATAATAACAGTAATAGTTATTATTATTATTATAAGAAAAATATTGTATATATATCAACACGTCATCAAATAAATGAAGATTGAAGAAAGTCCCGGGGTTGATACGGTCCCCCGAAGCCCTTGGTCGTCGAGATTATGGGGTTGATTCGGTCCCCTGAAGCCCTCGATTGTCGAGATTATCCAATCGAGGGAGCGCAGACACTACAATTTCAATCTCCTCGCCGTTGATTCGCTCCGGCCGAGTCGAGCCAAAGGGCAAATGCCCTCCTTACCTCCCGGCATCGGGGAGGGGACGCCGGAAGGCTGCCGGATTTTTGAGAAAAAAAAATATTTTTTATAAATTACTTAAATTAACAGGTCGCCCATATTAGAAGACTTGAAGATTTTTTTTGGGATCGATTCGCTCTCCCAAATCTCCTCGCCGTTGATTTGATCCGGCCGAGTCGAGCCACTCCCTTACCTCCCGGCATCGGGGAGGGGACGCCGGGAGGCTGCCGAAATTTACTCGAAACTTTTGGACTTAGCCAAATTTTTGGGAAATTCAAAAACAAAGCTCTTTTGTTAATTCAATAATTGATTAATCTTAAAAAAAAAAATCTGTTGAATTTATTGAAAATTTGAGCTGTTAGATTCTTTTGGTCGGTTTAAAAATCTGATTAAACAATTGATGTTGATTTAAATTAAAATTCTTTTATTAAGTCAAGTAAAGAATTTTAATTAATTTGAGACTTGAATGTAACTAATTGATAACTTAAATTTTAATCAAATTAAAATCTAATAACCAGAAATAGGCTATCATCAAGTTCATTCACAAGGCATAGCTTTGAAACTCCTCTATCTGATGAATTTTTGATTGTCGAAGCTGTTTAATGGTGTTGCTTCTTCATAGCTCCACACTCTAGAAAGATCATAATAACGGTTAGCAAAAGCCAACACGACATGATAAAAAAAAAAAAAGAGTATATGGCACCACCAAAGATAAAGTTACTCAAACATTTACCGAACATAATTAATCATGAAGAACGATGAATATGAAAAGAAGGATGCTAATGCTATGTACACATCACATAAGGATTTACATAAATGGATTAAATTGATATCAGATGTCTATTATCTGGACAAGGAGAAAACTGACTTGATAGAAGCTCGACAAATGAGTGATCCCATAGTAAGTCAAAGGCTCTTTATTCTAAAAGAGACGATAGAGGATGAATACTTGAAAGAGTATAAAAATAACAAAAATAAAATACATGCTACTATAGAAAAAAGAGAACTAGATGTACAAAACCAATAACTAAGTACACTACTGAAAGTCAGGGTACGAAAACAAACTACTACTACAAGTAGTTGTCAAAACTAAAGGTTAATGTCAAAACTAACAAACGAATTTACAAATTCCATAACTAGGCATCTTAGCCTATAGGGATAAGTTGTAAGACCCACTATTTGGGCTACTTCTAAGCGAAGCAATAAGACCCATGTGTTTAGGGAATTTCTAAACGAACGACTCTATAATCAAAACTCAAATACTTAATTGGGCATCTTAGCCTATAGGGCTAAGTTGTAAGACCCGCTATTTCGGGCTACTTCTAAGCAAAGCAGTAAGACCCGCTTGTTAGGGAACTTCTAAACAATTGACCTTAAAACCAAAACTCAAATCCTTAATTGGGCATCTTAACCTATAGGGCTAAGTTGTAAGACCCGTTATTAGGGCTACTTCTAAGTGAAGTAGTAAGACCCGTATGTTAGGAAAATTCTAAGTGAATGAACCTAAACCTAAAACTCAAACAAATTAATGGGCCACCTCTAATAGAGGTCGTAAGTCCCACTATCAGGGCCACTTTCAAATGAAAGCCATAAGCCCCTATCCAAATCAAATCATACGGGCAACTTCTAAGGAAGCCGTAAGCCCCAAACTAAACAAATTAACGGGCAACTTCTAAGGAAGCCATAAGCCCCAACCCAAATTAAACTAAACTAAATTAAAATTTACACATCTCCACTTCAGTCTATTCGGGATCCCTGAGAGGAGGCAACCCATGGCTGCTAATTAGATTCCATGGACACTACAACCAATGGTTGTTAGTGTTGGTAGACTGAACCTACGGTATGCCCGGGATGACAGAACCATGGGATCTTGATCGGGTGTACCTTCATTCCCCCCATAACTAAATTTAAATCTATATTGCACATTCACACACTTCTTGTACAAAGCTAAGTATATTTCATCTTTAATCGAGAGTGCTCTCCTAATGCGTTAGGAGGGATAATTAACTATGAGGGCCTGCGCTCATAGGAAGTAGAACTCAGATCTAAATAAACCCTAACACTACTCTCAGGGGAAATCTGGTTAAATATTAAACTCAATCTACCTCCGGAAAAATTAAAGAGAATCCATAAGTTCGTAAGAGCGGGGTTCGCATTATTTTAAATTTAATATGATTTTTTTTAGAGCGAACAGATTTCTTGGTAGATTTGATCCGATTCGTAAGAGCGGGGTTCGCATTATTTTAAATTTAATATGATTTTTTCTAGAGCGAACAACGCTCCTTAGTGGCGTTAAATCCTTGAGATATGAATCAATAGGGTATGATCAATAGGGCAAAAAGCCCTCTGTCAGCTAAGGTGGATTTAAATTTGTCCCCTTAGACAAACATTCAACCCCGGTCTACAAGGTCCCCTTGGACGAAGCAACCCATGGCTGTCGACAGGGATCCTTCTGTCAGGTTGGGTCGACTACCTCCTCTGACTAAGTAGACCAGGGACCACGATGGCCCGGGACGACGGAACCATGGGATCTTGATCGAGCCCATCATCCATTCCCCCACCATCCGCTTTAAGTGTAGGATGGTGCAATTTCTATTTAAATATCAAATCTTCCGAACCAAATATCCAAATTCAAACCCAATTTCCAAATCCAATTTATGCTGCTACTATAGCCAGATAACACGTATGTTCTACGTATCTGATTGACGACTAGCCTTAATCGAAAGTTCTCTCTCGTGATCAGGAGGGGTAATTAACTATAGGGGCTTGCGCCTATAGGAAACCAGAACTCAGATCATAAAGTCCTCACAAAATGAGGGCGAAATCTCTGGGTAGTGTATTATCTACAAACCCATCTGCCTTCCAAAATTTACCCCGGAACTTATTCCGTTAAAACTCGCTCGCCGAAATAAAAAAAGAAATCGCGCGGCGGGGAGGCCGGGGCCGAATTTTCGGAGCCCACAGCTATCATAGGATGTAATGAATTTGGAGGTTGTTATATATTATTTCTATGAATTTGGCATTCATGACACTCATTGGAGTATCAATGTAATCTTTCACCATCAATGACTAGTAATAAACTACTTTTTTTATTTTATTTTAATATCATTTTGAGACTTGACTGGTTTGCAATGCATAGTCCTTCATAAACTTTCACTAGAACATTATCAACTTCATCGGTTCCCAAGTAAAATCACATTTGGTAAAAGGATCTACTATAAAGGGTGTTATTGATAGAAGTATAACTGATGTAGAACTATGATGCTTGCCGATGATTTTATTAAGAAATTTCACAAATTCTTGATTAAATAAATAATAAAGAAACTTATTAGCAAATAAATAATGAGTCAAAACATAAGAGGGGTCACTTTCGTTTAGGCTAAGTTTCACATCCAAAAGATCTGAAATTTCAAAATAACATAAAAAATAACATTATGCCCAATTAGTAGTTTTCAACAAAATCCCTAGTCTAACAATGAGATTAGTAAACAAAATGATTGCGCTCAATTTCTTCATTTACTAAGCTTAGCAGAATCCGGCGAACGCGTCCTTCGTGACTACAATCAAATCACAAGAAAGGTTAGGCTTAAGAAATACGATAGGAGGAAGAGTAGAAAACCTCCGTCAAGGATCGACGACAATCCTTCACTTGACGATCTCAAGTTGTTCTTCACTCGCTTCAACCAAGGTGTCCAGGATGCGCTCTATGTAGTCCTCAACCGTATGATCGGTCCTCGGGTTGACGTCAAAGAAGGTTGAATGGAGAATGTGCACGAAACCGTGTTCGTCGTACTCGAGTCCATAATCAGTGTCGGGATCGGCCATTCATGAATGCTAGATGACGATGTCTTCCAACGTTTACTAGTAATCTTGAACTCCGTCAAGGAGAAAGAAGTTTCTCTTCAATTGAACTTGGGGGGAGGGAAGAAGTGTGGCCGGCCAAGGGATGAGGTAGAGAGGAGGCGAATTGGGTTTAGTAGGGAAGAATAAATTGAAAAGCTGAAATAAATTTCAGATTTTCTACTTGGGGGGAATTTAGGAATTAAATTTGAATTTAATTCCAAGAGAGGAAATGTGTATTAAAGTGGAGAGAGGGGATTGGAGAGAGAGAGAGAGAGAAAGGCGGTTAAGAGAGAGGAGGGGGAGGGTTCGGCGGTATGAGGGGATGGGGGAGGCTTTAAGGTGTTTCCAAAAGGAGAGCTTCTCCTTTGGAAATAAATCAAGTAATAGGGGTAATACAAAAAATTCAGCCAAGAGGGAATCGGGGATCTTGAATTATTTCTAAGAGTGGGATTTGGTTTAGGAAATAAATCCAAGTGGATTTATTAGGGGGGCGGGTGGCGGCTTCAATAGATTGGAAGGAGATTGGGGGAAGGGATTGGAGGTTTCCTATTTGGAGTTTTGAGATTATGAAATATTTAAATTAAATCCAATTTGATTGTGAAATTCAAATAAGATTAATTTAGATACTTTCCTAAAATAGATTTAATAATTTAGGAAAGATTTTAAATATCAAATTGAAGGAATTTGAATTCAAAATTTGTCCCAAATTAGGCAATGGATATCAAAGAGGCAAGGGGGACTAGGGGCCGATGGGTTGATGGGTTTCAGTTATGGGGGTCGGCGGCTAAGTGGGGGTGTAGGTGGAGCTCGGTTGAGTAAGGGGAAAGATTTGGGAGGGGAAGGACCGTGAGGATGATGTGGATGGTGGAGGTGGTCGGAAAAAAGAAAGGACACAAAATAGAACCACGAATCCGACTTATCTAGGTTGGTAGGTGATGCGCCGTTCTCCCTCTCCAAGGGATCTCTCTCCGATCTCTCAAGCTCTCACAAGAACTCATGCAAGGAAGAAATTTTAATCAATCATTCATTAACTTCAAAAGAGAACAAGGAGGGATATATAAAGCCTCATACAAAGGACTCAAAGACAAAAATGCCCCTAGGGCTTACATACGACATCCCTTAATAAATGGGTACAACGGGAAACTAAATAAAGCAAATAAAATGCGACAACATAAATAAGAAAATATATAGATAAATCAAAAATACAATGACTCAATCGTGGCCGTAGATCGGCGGTCACGTCTCTGATAGAACTTCAATGATCTGATGTCCCTATCATTCTCCCGGGGTGGGAGAAAACTGGACTCCGTCGAGTAAGTGTCTCTGGTGCTCTCGTATATCTCTAGTGCATCTAGGTCAATCTGCTGCAACTTCTCGTGATCCAACCAGGTATCCTCCGACTCGGGCTTTTTTTTTCACTTGATTAAGTATCTCCTTCGTCCACCTTCTCTTGTAAATATGATATCATCACTTAGGATCGTGTCCACCTTTTCTGCCATGGGTGATTTAGGAATATTTGCTAGTGGAGGTAGGTTTGGGATCTCACATGGTGGGGTAGCACAAGGCTGCCGTATGAGTGGATTTGGAGGGTTAAAATTAGGACATTCATATGCAACTAAATCTTCTATGTTAAAAGATATATTGATGTTGAAATCTGCATGCAGATCTACTACATAGGCATTATCGTTAATTTTTTCAAGTATTTTGAATGGTCCAGCACTCTTATCATGCAACTTCTTAATCATTCCCTGCGGGAACCGTTCCGGACGAATTCGCACCATCACGGAGTCACTAACCTCAAAAGTTTTAAAACGTCGTTTTAAATCTGCATATAGTTTGTATTTATTATTGATCCTTTCAATTTGTTGTGCAATTTCTTTATAAAGTTCATGTAAATGGGATGCAAATGATGATGCAGACTCGGAAATCCTATACCTAGAACACATGGGTATCAGGTCTAACTGCTGTCTAGGTTTGAATTTGTATACAATTTCAGAAAGACTTAGGGCAGTGGTTCGGTTAGTAGAATTATTATAAGCAAACTCTGCAGTAGGCAAAATGGAATACCAATCTCTAATGTGCTCGCCAACCAAAGACCGCAACAGATTACCCAAACTCCTATTAACTACGTCGGTCTGACCATCCATCTGTGGGTGAAAGGCAGTGAAAAATTGCAATTTAGTGCCCATTTTCATCCACATGATTTTCCAAAAAAAGCTAGTGAATTTCACATCCCGATCCGATACAATGGTTTTGGGTGAACCATGTAAACAGACGACCTCGTTGAAGTATAACTTCGCAATGTGAGAGGCATCGGATGTTTTGGAGCAAGGAAGAAAATGAGCCATTTTGGAGAACCGGTCAACCACAACACAAATGGGATCATTCCTACGGAGTGACGAAGTGTCTTGGGCAGGCCTAAGATAAAGTTCATGCTAACATCTTGCCAAGGACAACTAGGGACAAGTAGATGAGTGTAATAACCCGTGTTTTGCTTACGTTATTTGGCCAGTTGGCAGGTGTGATACCGACTGACCAACCGACCGACATCTCTCTTCAGGCTGGGCTAATAGAAGCGATACTCCATGGATTCGATAGTTTTGTCCCGACCGAAGTGCCCAGCGAGGCCTCCGGCGTGGAGTTCCCAGACAAGAAATTCCCTAAGGGAGGTGCTCGGGATACAAAGCCTCTGGGATTTGAAGAGATAACCATCCTCCAATAGGAAATCGTCCACAAGGCGCGTGTTGCCAATAGACAAGAGAGAGTAGGTATCCTTGATGTCGGGGCATTCCAAATAGTCCCTCTTTATTTTGTCAAATCCCACGACTTCAGCTCTCATCTCAGTAGTAGTCATCATACGACGACTGAGAGCATCAACAGCTTTATTTTCAACTCATGCCTTATGTCTGACGGTATACATGTACTCCTGAAGGAACTCGACCCATCGACTGTTGCGTGCATTTAATTTCTTTTGGGAGTTAATATAACATAGAGCTTCGTGATCCGAGAAAATGATAAACTCTTGCCGGAGCAAGTAGTGTCGTCAATACCAAAGAGATTGGATCATAGCATAAAACTCTTTGTCATATGTGGAATAACGCTGCTGAATATCATTAAGCTTTTCACTGAAGTAAGCTACTGGTGACCTTCCTAGGAGAGGACTCCTCCAATTCCGATCCCCAAAGCGACACAGATCACTTCAAAGACTTTGGAAAAAATTAGGAAGTCTCATCACTGAGGCCTCCACCATCTTTTGTTTGATCTCATCAAAAGCTCTGGTGGTTGTCGGGGTCCAATGGAAATCATCTTTCTTTAAGTAGTCAGTGATAGGAGATACGATAGTGCTAAAATTCCGAATGAATCTCCTATAGAAGAAGGCTAATTCGTGGAAGCTGCAGACTTCCCGGATGTTCTAAGGACAAGCCATTCCACAATGGCCCTCACCTTCTCGGGGTCTGCAGAAACTCCTTGGGCTGAAACGATGAAGACCAAAAAGATGAAGGTACATTTCTTAGGATTGGCATAGAGTTGTTCCTTCCTTAAGACCTCACAAACTTGCCTTAAGTGGTCCAAGTGCTAGCTACGACTGATTGTAAATAAGAATGTCGTCAAAGTAGACAATGACAAACTTTCTCATAAATGGGTGCAACACTTGAGTCTTGATCCTCATGAAGGTGCTCGGGGCGTTACTTAACCCAAAAGGCATGGCTAACCACTCGTAGAGACCATCCTTGGTCTTGAAGGCAGTTTTCCACTTGTCTCTGAGTCGGATCCGGATCTGGTGGTACCCACTTTTGAGATCAATTTTGGAGAATAATGTGACACCCGTCACATATCGAGCATATCGTCTAGCCTCGAAATAGGGAAACGATATTTAACGGTGATCTTGTTAATAGCACAACTATCAATACACTTCCTCCAAGATCCGTCATTTGGTGTAAGAAGGGACGGTACCGTGCAGGGATTAAGGCTCTCCTTAATGAAACCTCGCTGCAGTAACTCATCAACCTGCTTCTTAAGCTCGACATGTTCTGTGGGTTCATGCAATAATGTGGCAGGTTTGGGAGGGAGGCTCCAGGGATGAAGTCTATGGCATGTTGAATGTCTCTAAGTGGAGGTAATTGATCTGGAAGATCATCGGGAAAGACATCTGCATACTGTCCAAAGATAGGCTGAACTTCTAGAGGGATAAGTTCATCAGATTCGGCGGGAATCTAACGACCCACTAAGGCGTAAAGGGGTGCGCCTTGAGCCACCTCAGCGTTCAGAACCTTGGCGGTAACGAGGTTCAATCCTTTCTTGGACTTAATGGGGTTGGATTTCGAGTCATCCGTAACCTGGGGCTGCGATGGCAAAAGCTTAATCTTTTTGCCCGCATGTTCGAACACGCAGGTGTTCGAACGCCAAAAAATGTGGACATCGTTATCATAGATCCATGGGAAACCCAAAAGAATTTGTCAAACATTCATGATCAGTACATCGCACCAAACGTTCTCCTTGTAATTAGCAAAAGGAGATAGGTACGGAGCTTCATTCCTTCACCTCCAAGATAGTGGAGTTGACCCAAGCTACCTTATATGGGTTGGGGTGAGGAACGGCAGACATACCCAACTTGGATATCATGTCAGAAGAAACATCATTTATGCAGCTACCACTATACACGATGACCTTATAGTTCTTGTCTTTGATTTTGGTGTAGGTATAGAAAATTGAGGTCCTACGCCAGTCATTCGTGGGTGTCGGGTGGGATAGCGCACATCTTACCACGCAAATGGGATAAGTATCCAATTTTTGAAAGCATTGGAGGACCGTAGTGTCGTCATCCTCCTCGAAGTATTCGCCTTCGTCCTCGACCTAGTGGATCTGATCAACCTCGGGCTCGAGATCGTCCTCAGTAATCTCCTCGATGATCGAGACTTTATAGGGACTGGAGCACTAAGAAGCGATATGCTCATACCGATGGCATCGAAAGCACTTGGTCCTGGGACTGGATCGAGGGGTATCCGGGGTGGGAGATTTATTTCTAAAATCCGATCAAGGTGCCGGAGGACCCGTGGGTGGTCGGGTCGTGCTCCCATGGTGGGTCGGGTAGCCGAAGTGTGTGTAGTGGAACTACTAGCTGGTATGTAGGAGGGCATAGAGTAATGTGAACGGCTCGGGTGCTGTGAACGGGTCTCCTCTAAATCAAGCACTAGGTTGTAGGCATTTTCCAATGTAGTGACGTTCCGGGCAAACAACTCATTGCGAAGATCCTCTCGCAACCCGGTTCAAAACATAGATAAGATCTGCGCTGGGGTGTAGAGGTATCCCCTTTCATGAGTGGTATATCAGGATCATGACGTGGGTCATGTCTGTGGTAAGGAGCTCGTTGATTGGCACGATGTTGCCTCTCATCTGAGTAAGTGTCATCCCCATACATAGAAGGTGGTCTAGATGGGGTGTAGGGAGTAGGGTGCTCTCTAGCTCGCTCAAGTGTGTCAAATCGCTCAGTGGTGTTCCTACGAAGTTCAGCTAGCCGGCTTGGTTCTCTTTGAGTTGATGGCTAATGTTGTTCATTTGGCATACCAACAAGTTTAAGGTCCTTCCTAGTTGTTCCGGGTCCATTGGGATTTACTACGGGACACCTAAAAGTGACTGGGATGTAAAGGAAAGTAACTTATATGATTGGAACACACTTATGCCTTGCAAAATGATTATGAAAAAAGATAAGGACAACAACCTAACAATTTCTAAATTACACAAATGCAATGGTGGAATGATTAATGCTGAAAGAAAATTCTACCAAGGATCCTAACACATGCAAAAAGAGCATACCATGCTTTGATACTAGATGATGTAGAACTATGAAGCTTGCCGATGATTTTATTAAGAAATTTCACAAATTCTTGATTAAAGAAATAATAAAGAAACTTATTAGCAAATAAACAACGAGTCAAAACATAAGAGGGGTCACTTTCGTTTAGGCTAAGTTGCACATCCAAAAGATTTGAAAATTCAAAATAACATAGAAAATAACATTATGCACAATTAGTAGTTTTCAACAAAATCCCACTGACCATCCATCTGTGGGTGAAAGGCAGTGAAAAATTGCAATTTAGTGCCCATTTTCATCCACATGATTTTCCAAAAAAAGCTAGTGAATTTCACATTCCGATCCGATACAATGGTTTTGGGTGAACCATGTAAACGGACGACCTCGTTGAAGTATAACTTCGCAATGTGAGAGGCATCGGATGTTTTGGAGCAAGGAAGAAAATGAGTCATTTTGGAGAACCGATCAACCACAACACAAATGGGATCATTCCTATGGAGTGACGGAGTGTCTTAGGCAGGCCTAAGATAAAGTTCATGCTAACATCTTGCCAAGGACAACTAGGGACAAGTAGAGGAGTGTAAAAACCCGTGTTTTGCTTACGTTGTTTGGCCAGTTGGCAGGTGTGACACCGACTGACCAACCGACCTACATCTCTCTTCAGGCTGAGCCAATAGAAGCGATACTCTATGGATTCGATAGTTTTGTCCCGACCGAAGTGCCCAGCGAGGCCTCCGGCGTGGAGTTCCCAGACAAGAAATTCCCTAAGGGAGGTGCTCGGGATACAAAGCCTCTGGGCTTTGAAGAGATAACCATCCTCCAATAGAAAATCGTCCCTTGCGAAGCCCAGAGGCTTTGTATCCCGAGAGGGGTCACTTTCGTTTAGGCTTAGTTGCACATCCAAAAGATTTGAAATTTCAAAATAACATAGAAAATAACATTATGCCCAATTAGTAGTTTTCAACAAAATCCCTAGTCTAACAATGAGATTAGTAAACAAAATGATTGCGCTCAATTCCTACGTTTACTAAGCTTAGCAGAATCGGGCGAATGCGTCCTTTGTGACTACAATCAAATCACAAGAAAGATTAAGCTTAAGAAATACGAGAGGAGGAAGAGTATAAAACCTCCGTCAAGGATTGGCAGCAATCCTCCACTCGACGATTTCAAGTTGTTCTTCAATTGCTTCAACCAAGGTGTCCAAGA